TTATTACATGTTTTATCAGTTATTAATTGGATGCTGTCTCAAGATTGTTTACATCTCGCCAATGTTTGCTTAATGTTTTGGTATTTAAGCTGCAGTGTTGATGATTACAGTACATAGTGATCGGCAATCAATGACATCTCTTTATTACATGTGTTATCAGTTATTAACTGGATGCTGTCTCAAGATTGTTTACATCTCGCCACTGTTTGCTTAGTGTTTTGGTATTTAAGTGTTATGATTTATAGTAAATGCAGTTTTTTTTTCGAAATTTCGACGCTTCGCGAGATCGGCCTGGCCCGTTGCCGGGACGACAGACGCCGCCGTCGTATCCATAGAGACGGCGGTGGCGACGCCCGGCACGCCCATCAGTCGCACCGGGGACCCAGCGTCGGCGGCAACGGCCGCAGCACGCTGCACCTCCGAAGTTTAATTGAAAACAAATTTATACTCGTCTATAAAATAAGTCGCATTTTTTTGGTGATTTTATACAATGTCATATATCGTCACATAGTTACTATCCCCTTTAAATGTCACGTTACAATTTCCATTTGTTATTTCTTATTTTAAATTGGTATAATTTTAGCTTGTTTTTTGTTGTCATTAAAGCTTGTCGTCATTGTAGCTTATCACCAATTGAGCTTGTTGTCATTCTAGCTTATTAGCTTGTAATTTTAAATTGCTATAGTTTTAGCTTGTCATTTTACCATATCTGTATTTTAGCTTTTATTAAAACTTCGTATTTTAGCTTATCATTTTAAATAGCTATAATTTTAGCTTGTCATTGCAGCTTGTTGTCATTGTAGCTTATTGTCGTTCCAATTTTAGCTTGTAATTTTAAATTGCTATAGTTTAAGCTTGTCATTTTACCATGTCTGTATTTTAGCTTGTCATTATTTTAGCTTTTATTCCAACTACTCCCTATTTTAGCTTATTATTTTAAATGGCTATAATTTTAGCTTGTCATTGTAGCTTGTTTTCATTCTAGCTTATTGTCGTTCCAAAGTTAACTTTAGCTTGTAATTTTAAATTGCTATAGTTTTAGCTTGTCATTTTACCATGTCTATATTTTAGCTTGTCATTATTTTAGCTTTTATTAAAATAAAACTTCTCCGTATTTTAGCTTATCATTTTAAATGGCTATAATTTTAGCTTGTCATTGTAGCTTGTTGTCATTCTAGCTTATTGTCGTTCCAATTTTAGCTTGTAATTTTAAATTGCTATAGTTTTAGCTTGTCATTTTACCATGTCTATATTTTAGCTTGTCATTATTTTAGCTTTTATTCCAACTTCTCCCTATTTTAACATCATTTTAAATGGCTATAATTTTAGCTTGTCATTGCAGCTTGTTGTCATTGTAGCTTATTGTCGTTCCAATTTTAGCTTGTAATTTTAAATTGCTATAGTTTTCGCTTGTCATTTTACCATGTCTGTATTTTAACTTGTCATCATTCTAGCTTGTCTGTATTTTAGTTAATTGTCATTAAAGCTTATCTTTATTCTAGATTTTCTGTAATTTAGCTTGCCATCAAGTGAGCTTTTGCCATTCTATCTTGTCATTCCAACGTGTCTGTATTTTAGCTGGCCATTTTAAATGACTGTAATTTTAGGTTGCCATTTTACCCTGTCTATATTTTATAGTCGTTAACACTTGTCGTGCTAGCTTTATGTCATTTTAGCTTCTAATCTTAAATTGCTATAATTTGTTTTTATCATTTTTTTAGTTTGTCATTCTAGCTTGTCTTTATTTTATTTAATTGTTGTTGTCGTAGTTAATTATTAATTAAGCTTATCGTCATTTTAGCATTCCTGTATTTTAGCTTGTTGCCATTCTAGCTTCTCATACCAACTTGTCTGTATTTTAGCTTGTCATTTTAAATTGTTATAATTTTGACTTGTCGCCATTCTACCATGTTTGTATTTTAGCTTGTCATCATTCTAGCTTGTCTGTATTTTAGCATAATTTGTCGCGAGGGTTTTTGTTAAGGCGTGTTTACATTATTGCAAAGTGTAAATAAACTCCAAAAAATTGTTTTAGTTGATTTAAATCATTGCAATATTAAAGGTTGTAGTACCTATGTATATAATTTTGTTTAACTAATATTTATGGTATTATAAAAACTTGTAAAGCATAAACATAAATCTTTCATTTGAACAAATTTTTATCGATGCTCCAAATAAACCACATAAATTAAAGTTAACCGAATCGTGCAAAATTTATAGGCAAACATTTACTTTCGCCGTTTTACCATCAAATAAATCATCCGAAATGTATGAAAATGTTTTAATCCCTTTTAAATATTCTCCTCTATTCCGATTAAATCCGTCATATAATTCGTTGTTCGTTATTCTCGACCGGCAAATGTTTTGTTTTACGGTCGCTTAATCATATCATCGTGAAGCGCGGGGTTAAAACGCTTTTATCTTAATTCGGACGCCTTTTCAAAACGCCGCTCAATTAATCTAAAAGCATACGTGCGCCAACTAACAAAACGATAAATAGAGACCGGCAGAAGATTTTAGCAAATTACCGCCAAACCAAAAACAAACTCGGAATTTTAACTACTCTTTTAACTAGTTTCGGTTTTAAAGTGATTTCCGGAAGTTCGCTCTAATGTAAACAAGCCTTAACCAACGACGCGTTGGTGTGAATTGACCCTAAGCAAATTAAAAGGGTTAACACTTTTTTGACTAATATATAAATGTAAAACATTTTATGAAAATTCATTAAAAAAAGTTAAAATAATAACAAAGCTAGAATGTTGACAAGCATAGATAAGTAAAAACATTGACTATAATTTAACTGAAAGAAAAAAATGGTTGAATCAACCAATAAATGGTTAAATCAACATTTTTTGCACATTCAATACAAACAATGTTAAAATATAAATGTCGTTTTAACAAATTAAAATTATTAAATTAAAATTTTAGAAATTTATTTAACCTTTAAACCATTTTTTGGTCCAACCACAAAAAATATTAAAATGAAATATACGGATTATTAAAATAATTTTATTGTAATATTTAATCAAATTATTAAAAATATTAATTTAATGCACAATTAATAGTGAAATAATAAACATGGTAGCAGTTTTAATCTTTAAAAATACTTGTATTATTAAATTTAAAGGTTAAAACAATAAATTGCTACTTAAACCAAATAATTCAAATATTGATTAAAAAAATTTTACTTCTAATAGAATGTTTTATTTAAAATATTGCATAAATAAACCAAAAATGTAGTATGTAAATGTAACTAATTGGAAAGGTTGAATAAAATATCAAATTTATTAAAAAAACTTTATTAGATAAATACAAATCCATTTAAACACAAAATTAAATATAATAGATTTAAATCAATTTTTTTCCTTTTTATTTGAATTATTGTATTCACAATTTAATTAAAATAAAAAAAAACTGACTTTTATAAAAAAAAATGAGATTTTTTTTCTTCAAAAAAATCATTATTTTTTATATTTCCTAGTTTTAACAACAAACAAAAGTTTAATTGAAGTATACACTACATAAATACTTATACAATAGTTGAATATTTAAACACCTCTTAACCGAAAAAAAGTTTAATTGAATACGTATACACTACTTAAATACTTATACATACGATAGTTGAATACACTATACTTAACCGAATTTTTTTTTGTATTTCTCTTATTTCTTTAAAAACCTTATTCGATGACCTGCTTTTGAAATTAAGTCTTTTAAAATTTCGGCGTTTAAATTTAAAAGCTTTTACTTATCGATATATTGTCCTACAATAAAGTTTATTTTATGATAAAATAATATAAGAATTAAATAAACCTACCTTTAAAAACATCAATTGGGTTGGCAAATCCCCATTTGTCTAATAACGATTTCATTGCTATAAAAGTTAATTATGAAACACTTAGTTTATTATTGTGAATGCTATATTTAAACATGTACCTACATGTAGGTAGGTAGTAATCATGTCACAAGCATGGTAACGTGAGAAAATATTACTATAAACTATAAATAATATTAACAGTTTTACTCTCGGTTTAATTATCTTTAGATTAAAGTAATAAGATAAAAATGTTAACAATTTTGGAATAATAATAATTACTAAGATATGTTGACTCAATATTCTAAGTTTCTAAAGGCAAAATACAAACGAATATCGCTTCAATAATTTTACATATTTGTTTAATTTTTGTGTGTGCATCATCCATTTAACTAATAGGAATATGATTTAATAAAATTTATTAACAATATTTATTTAATATATGTACGTATACTGATTTAAATAAAATGGACTATTAAAATAACTTGTTTAATTTGACATTCTCAAAATATTAATTAAAAGTAAAATTTAAGTTTATGTCAACAAAATTCAAATTTCTAAAACTTTTGATTGAACAAATTCATTTCTCTCAGTGTAGAATCACGGAAAACTAAAATACTCAATAACAAAGCGATAATGATGACAAGCTAAAATTATAGCTCTTTATTTAGATAGACACCAGTTGAATAATGTATTTAATATAAATTCGCACTAGTGCAAACCCACCTTTACTCACATGAATATAGTGTGAATGGACCTTAATACGTTTTCGCTACCATGCAAACTCACCTTAACGAAAAATTTTATTTTCGATAACATCACTAAATTTGTTCGCTTTCTTTCAGTAGAACATATAAATTAAAAGTAAAATTTAAGTTTATGTCAACAAAATTCAAATTTCTAAAACTTTTGATTGAACAAATTCATTTCTCTCAGTGTAGAATCACGGAAAACTAAAATACTCAATAACAAAGCGATAATGATGACGAGCTAAAATTATAGCTCTTTATTTAGATAGACACCAGGTGAATAATGTATTTAATATAAATTCGCACTAGTGCAAACCCACCTTTACTCACATAAATATAGTGTGAATTGACCTTAATACGTTTTCGCTACCATGCAAACCCACCTTTACGAAAATTTTTTTTTGACAATATCACTAAATTTGTTCGCTTTCTTTCAGTAGAACATGCAGTGTCTGCACCGCTGGCGATGTCGCGCCGCGGCGGCGGATTCGCCGGCGGCGGCGGCGACACCGGCAGCATACTGTCGCCGCGCGGCAGCGACAACGGCGGCCTGGGCGTCAAGATGGTCGAGTACGTGCTGAGCACGTCGCCCAGCAACAAGGACAACATGGGCCTGGAGCCCAGGCTAAGGGCTCTGCACCTCGACGAGAAGGACAAGGACAAGCCGCAAAGTCCCAAGGAGGAAATGAACGGCCAACCGGTGCAAAATGGACAGATCGTCGACGACGACAAGTGCTTCAAGTGAGTTTTAGGATTTAAGAACGATTTTTTAGCTATGGGGTCATTTCATCGTTTCGGGTGTTACATTTGTTCAAACCAAAGTAAATTTTTAGCAATTAAAGTGCCTTATTCTCTACGTTTTTAGTTGTTTTATCTAAATTGTAAAATAAGTACAGTTTAGCATATAGGAAAAGTGTTCGTTTTGGGTGTTTCACGATTCTGCCTCTATGTCCTGACCATAGTTTCATTTATTTGAAATTCAGCAAATTTTCTTAGGGAAATATTCCTAAAAATTACAGGCCTCCAAAAGTAGATTTACTAACCATCTACCACTTAATCACTGTCACAAATAACGTTTTACTATTTTTTTTATAAAATTTTACTTTGTTTCGGGTGTTACTGGTTCTGTTTCGGGTATTACAAGTACAACAATTAAACACCTTATATGGTCAAAACCGGTGTTTTATTAGTCTCTAGGTACAATAAACATAAATATAATGAATTCTCCTTAAACTTAAGCAGCTTCGGGTGCGATTGATAAATCGGCAAAAAGGGTAAAATCTTTATGTTTGTTTCTAGATGTAAAAACATATGGTTGGTTTTCAGTATCTTTTAAGATTCTGATTTAATTTTGAACTTGGTCAAATATTTTTATTTTTTTTTATTTTATTTTTTTTTTATTATTTTTAATGTGCTTTCAACAGGCACCAGGCCCAATTACAGAAATACACAATGACAAACACAAATAAACAACCATACCCCTGGTGGGATTCGAACCCACGACGAAATATGCCAGAATGATGAAGAAAGTGCTTTATGTGCATAAAAATAAAACTAGAAGGGTTTTAAATAAAAAATAAACAAATTTTTAACATGACCGTCGCATACTTTTTTTTCATGTGATTTCACACATTTTTATTTGCTCAAAATTAAAAGTAACCCCAAGTTGTGAATTTTAGTTTAGAGATTTCACCGGTAAACAACCGACAACAAAAAAAACATGGCGAGCAGTTTATAACTTACCTTTTCTATATCAAAATACACGACAGGAACTGTAAATATATCGCTTACTGAACTGCACAACTAACCGTCGCCATTTGCAATAATAAAATATTTTAATTCACACATGCAGTACCTTCTACCTAAAAGTCTTTCTACGGTCATGTGAAGAAAACGTCGCGACAACGTTGAGTTATAATTTTTAGCCTAAACATTAACAATAATGGCTATTTATGACAATTTTATAACATAAAAAACCCAACATTTGTTCAATATCATTTTCTTTGGCTACTTAAAAGTTGAATTAAATTGTTAGAAGATCGAAAATATTGGATTTTGCTCGAGGGACTTACGACGGTCATGTGAAACAGGAGTTTTAAAACCAAAATTATAAAAATAATTTATAGGATATTAAACTTTTGGTATTATAAATCGATAAAAAATATGCCTGTCTAGTAAAATGTAAAAAAAATATCAGTAATATAAAGGTTTTAGTTTGGTATCTTAAATGTTACTGAAAACCACTCATACAGGATGGGATAGTGATATCCAGTGGCTTTTTTTATTAAAAAACAGTACCTCTAATGTTATGTCAATTGTATTTTATTCTGACCGCTATTACAATTCTCGTTATTCAAGGAGCATATTTTTTACGATCGTCTGAACACGTACGTCGCGTGTATCGTAAAAAGCGTCTCTCCAGGATTCCGGGGCAGCGTATAAGACGAAAAAAGTGCAAACCGATGGAAGCAAAAAAAAAAAAACGTCGGAGCGCAAACAACCGCCGCATCGAATTCGCCCGGGGACTCCCCGTCTCTCTTTTGCTTTTTGATTCTGCGTCTTGCTCCAGGCACCCCAGGCGTTGCCAGGCATCCAGACTACATAACAATTTGTATACCCCCAAGTTATTTACAATCATATTATTATCGCTAAATGTTCCATCAAAGATAGGAATGAGGCTTTAGGCTGAAATATTTTTCAGTTCAGATCAGTGCTCCGGCATTGGAAAGCCCGGATTAGTACGCTGAAATTCGTGTTGCTGCGAGGCAGCGATGGATTAATAATGAACGATGATGATTATCTAAAAAGTTGCTTTCTGCACAACGTTTTGATACTTTTGACAAAAGTCTTTTTTGTTATTAATTTTTGAGCGAGCTCTCTAAACTTTTATCTCCATATAGGGAATATGGAGAAACGTTGTTATGCAGAAATTAATTATTTATGGTTAGTCTCTGGAAGACTTAAGGACGTAAAATATACACTGGCTTGAGGTTGTTAAATTAAATTTCGCTCGGTTTTGAGATGCTGTAAAAGTGTCGCCATTTCGAGATATATTGTTCCTATTATAAAATTGATTATTGCATCTGAGTTCTATAAAATAAACCCTTTAGTCACAGTAAAAAATATTTGATAAGAAATGTTTCCTAAACAAAGAAATTAACACATACCTACATAAAAGAAAATAAAAATAACACACCATTCTAAAATCTCAGTATGCATTTTACGAAAAAAAAATTTTAAAATAAAAATTAAAGATTCAATCAGTACTAAAATTGGCCCTCATACTCTCCTCCTTATAGGGGGAATTTTTTATTGCAGATTCGGATCATTCGACTAAAAATAGGTAGATTTTGTCTAAAACATTTTTTCATATTTGTAATAGATGGCGTTGTAATATAAAAAAAAAATTTGTTCGATTTTTCTTCTTATACGATTCTGCAATAATTTTTCTATAAAAATATCACTTTTCTTGGTAATAATTATCTTATTAAATTAAATCTGATTTTCTTAAGCACCCACGATTTTTTAACTAATATTTAAGTTTCCTTTGGTTTAAGTTTTATACATTATTTCATTCGGTGATAATGATCTATTGCGCACCATGGTCACTTTTTACCTGCCAGCATTAAATCCTTTAATTTAAGGATTATTGTACTATTTTCGCTGTGGCTCCCGTCCCGAGGCGGGACTTAAGTTCAGTCCCGATTGACGTCATAATTTTAAGATTTGTTATGTTATAATAAAATAATAATAAATTGTACCTGTATACATGTTAAGGGCACTTTAGTTACGTCATAAAACCAAACCAACCCAAACTCAACAACACAACCCAACCGACCCCGCCCCATTGGGCCCCCCCCGCCCCATTGAGCAAAAAACCCAACTAAAATGGGCAAATTTATGTTACGATAAAAATAAAACACTTTTTAACAAAGAAACAACAAATTTATAAAATAAAAAAAATAAAAAAAGTTTGACAACTTCTAGTGGGATCGAACCCGGTACCTCTCGCATGCCAAGCGACCGCCCTACCATCTAAGCCATCGAGCTTGACACAAATTATAAAATCTCGGGGAATAAAAACCGATTTACAGTGTGTGACGTCAATCGGGACTAAACTTAAGTCCCGCCTCGGGACGGGAGCCACATCGTACTATTTTTAATAAAAATACCTCATTTAAGATAAAAAAAATATTATTTTGTCAATTAATTAATTTAATCCTAATGGAGGTATAAAAAATGGTATTTAGTTATAATTAATAATTATTATTGAGGAATAAAGAAACTATTTATACATAGTTTAGCATTATTTAATCAATTTAGTTCGAAGATTAATTTTAATTTGCAAACAAAAAGATCTCCTTTCGTTAAGCAGTTATTCACATTGGATTTTTTAACAGTGGAAGAAAAAATAGAAATGATTTTGATTTATGGAGGAGCAGGCAGGAATCTTGATGATGCTGTTAATATATACGCTCAGCGTTTTCCGGAAAAAAATCGATCACGTACTTTATTTTACCGTACAGTCAAGCAGTTTACTAAAAACGGGAGTGTTAAATTTAAAAAATAAAACCAAGTATTTTATTCAAAAATTATTGAAGAATCGTATGCAGAAGAAAAATCGAACAAAATTGATTTTTTTTCATTACAGCGCCATCTATTACAAATATGAAAAATTGTTTTAGACAAAATCTACCTATTTTAGTGGAATGATCCGAATCTGCAATAAAAAATAGGGCGTTCCATTGGAAATTTTAAAGTTACCCCCTGTTCCCCCTATAAGAAGTATAGTATGAGGACCAATTTTAGTACTGATTGATTTCCCCCTCGAATCATTTAATTTTTATTTTAATTTTTTTTTCGTAAAATGCATACTAACTGACATATTTCAAAATAATTACAAAAATGATGTTAAAATTTTACAAAATAAGATTAACAAACTCATGTAAACAAATCTGATTTTTATAACAGTGTGGTTTAAAACAGAGATTTTTAGTAGACTTATGGGAGTATGTATAAAATCGATGTAATTAAATCGTTTGTACATTTAACTTGTGCCGCAACTTGTCACCCCGGAAAGCGGAAGGAAGTCGCCCGTTTAAATAGCATAAATTTGAACCGAGTAAACTTTGAACTCGAACGAATTTGCATGTTCACCTGCTGGCAAATAGGATAGTTAACCTTCCGTAGGTATTCCAAACAAGATTCGAACTACTTTTATTCGTTGATTCCGGTCTTGTGTATCAACTTTGTATTGTATTTTTCCCGAAATTGGTGCTCTTAAATTTCCATCCACCAAAACTATTTTTGATTTCCCGAAGTTTCCTGAAATACTCGAGAGTTGTTCCCGGTAATGAGCCCGTCTCTTTTCAACCGCTTTTCTCCTACGGATTTGCATACGACATTGTTACTGGAAAACCCTCCCGGAGTTGAAGTGAACCCGCGGAATCGCATTATTATGCTAAAGCTGCTCGCCATCAATCGACGATTTGTTCCGTTTGTTTACACAGTCTTCTCGTAAATCCCTTTATTTTTCGCGAAGCGATAAAAAATCGTCGGCGACGAGGGTCCATTGTCCCGACCCTTGAGCGGTTTGTTTTGGAATTTCATTATGTTATATTGTCGCCGGACCTTTATTCTGCCGCGGACGTTAATTTAAACTCGGCACAATTAAACATCATACCCGAAAGTTTACTAATGTCGCCAGTCTACTGACCAAAAAGCTTTATAGGCGTCAAGAACACAAAGAGTGGCGAGATGTATATCACACTGGTCTACAATAAAAATGTGATTGTATTTATTTTAAAACCTAAATGATTTCGATTTGTCTCCTATCAAAATTTTCCTCCTCACCACCAATTTGAATTATCCAGATGAGAGATAATATCTATCATCTACCTTAAAATTTATGATAATTTTAACAATTTAAACTGAGTCTTAAGGTTTTCGATGGGCTGAATCTAAATTTTTTGCTTCCAATGTTCCATCACGTTTCGTTTTCGATATATTTGAAACTTCTCTTTATCAGAATTAAGTAAATTAGTGGTGCATCTGCTATCCCAAATCTTTCTTAAAATTCAACAATTTTACAATCGCTTTTGAGATATTCTCTATCATTTATCATAACCTTTATAATAATATTAAAAATTCAAATTTTAACGAGATGAATTAAATGTTTCATTATGTTCCATTTTCCAGATATTTGAAACTTGTGTGTCCAATGCATTAATGGTTTTCGAATTCAATTATCTTATGTTGTCACCAGACCTTTATTCTGCCGCTGACGTTAATTTGAACTCCACACAATTAAACATCATACCACCGCTTTTCTCCTACGGATTTGCATACGACATTGTTACTGGAAAACCCTCCCGGAGTTGAAGTGAACCCGCGGAATCGCATTATTATGCTAAAGCTGCTCGCCATCAATCGACGATTTGTTCCGTTTGTTTACACAGTCTTCTCGTAAATCCCTTTATTTTTCGCGAAGCGATAAAAAATCGTCGGCGACGAGGGTCCATTGTCCCGACCCTTGAGCGGTTTGTTTTGGAATTTCATTATGTTATATTGTCGCCGGACCTTTATTCTGCCGCGGACGTTAATTTAAACTCGGCACAATTAAACATCATACCCGAAAGTTTACTAATGTCGCCAGTCTACTGACCAAAAAGCTTTATAGGCGTCAAGAACACAAAGAGTGGCGAGATGTATATCACACTGGTCTACAATAAAAATGTGATTGTATTTATTTTAAAACCTAAATGATTTCGATTTGTCTCCTATCAAAATTTTCCTCCTCACCACCAATTTGAATTATCCAGATGAGAGATAATATCTATCATCTACCTTAAAATTTATGATAATTTTAACAATTTAAACTGAGTCTTAAGGTTTTCGATGGGCTGAATCTAAATTTTTTGCTTCCAATGTTCCATCACGTTTCGTTTTCGATATATTTGAAACTTCTCTTTATCAGAATTAAGTAAATTAGTGGTGCATCTGCTATCCCAAATCTTTCTTAAAATTCAACAATTTTACAATCGCTTTTGAGATATTCTCTATCATTTATCATAACCTTTATAATAATATTAAAAATTCAAATTTTAACGAGATGAATTAAATGTTTCATTATGTTCCATTTTCCAGATATTTGAAACTTGTGTGTCCAATGCATTAATGGTTTTCGAATTCAATTATCTTATGTTGTCACCAGACCTTTATTCTGCCGCTGACGTTAATTTGAACTCCACACAATTAAACATCATACCTGAAAGTTAACTAATGTCGCCAGTTCACAGACTAAAGAGCTTTATAGGCGTCAAGAACACAAAGAGTGGCGAGATGTATAACACACTGGTCTACAATAAAAATGTGATTGTATTTATTTTAAAACCTAAATGATTTCGATTTGTCTTCCATCAATATTTTCCTCCTCACCAACAATTTGAATAATCCAGATGAGAGATAATATCTATCATCTACCTTAAAACTTATGATAATTTTAACAATTTAAACTGAGTCTAAAGGTTTTCGATGGGCTGAATCTAAATTTTTTGCTTCCAATGTTCCATCACGTTTAGTTTTCGATATATTTGAAACTACTCTTTATCAGAATTAAGTAAATTAGTGGTGCATCTGCTATCCCAAATCTTTCTTAAAATTCAACAATTTTACAATCGCTTTTGAGATATTCTCTATCATTTTTCATAATCTTTATAATAATATTAAAAATTTAAATTTTAACGAGATAAATTAAATGTTTTATTATGTTCCATTTTCCAGATATTTGAAACTTGTATGGTTTTGAAATTCCATTATCTTATGTTGTCACCAGACCTTTATTCTGCCGCGGTCGTTAATTTGAACTCCACACAATTAAACATCATACCCAAAAGTTTACTAATGTCGCCAGTCTACTGACCAAAAAGCTTCATAGGCGTCAAGAACGCAAAGAGTGGCGAGATGTATATCACAGTGGTCTACAATAAAAATGTGATTGTATTTATTTTAAAACCTAAATGATTTCGATTTGTCTTCTATCAAAATTTTCCTCCTCACCAACAATTTAAATTATCCAGATGAGAGATAATATCTATCATCTACATTAAAACTTATGATAATTTTAACAATTTAAACTGAGTCTAAAGGTTTTCGATGGGCTGAATCTAAATTTTTTGCTTCCAATGTTCCATCACGTTTCGTTTTCGATATATTTGAAACTTCTCCTTATCAGAAGTAAGTAAATTAGTGGTGCATCTGCTATCCCAAATCTTTCTTAAAATTCAACAATTTTACAATCGCTTTTGAGATATTCTCTATCATTTTTCATAACCTTTATAATAATATTAAAAATTCAAATTTTAACGAGATGAATTAAATGTTTCATTATGTTCCATTTTCCAGATATTTGAAACTTGTGTGTCCAATGCATTAATGGTTTTCGAATTCCATTATCTTATGTTGTCACCAGACCTTTATTCTGCCGCTGACGTTAATTTGAACTCCACACAATTAAACATCATACCCGAAAGTTTACTAATGTCGCCAGTCCACAGACTAAAAAGCTTTATAGGCGTCAAGAACACAAAGAGTGGCGGGATGTATATCACACTGGTCTACAATAAAAATGTGATTGTATTTATTTTAAATCCTAAATGATTTCGATTTGTCTTCTATACAATTTTTTCTCCTCACCACCAATTTAAATTATCCAGATGAGAGATAATATCTATCATCTACCTTAAAATTTATGATAATTTTAACAATTTAAACTGAGTCTAAAGGTTTTCGATGAGCTGAATCTAAATTTTTTGCTTCCAATGTTCCATCACGTTCCGTTTTCGATATATTTGAAATTTCTCTTTATCAGAAGTAAGTAAATTAGTGGTGCATCTGCTATCCCAAATCTTTCTTGAAATTCAACAATTTTACAATCGCTTTTGAGATATTCTCTATATTTATCATAACCTTTATAATAATATTAAAAATTCAAATTTTAACGAGATGAATTAAATGTTTCATTATGTTCCATTTTCCAGATATTTGAAACTTGTATGCCCAATGCATTTATGGTTTTAAAATTCCATTATCTTATGTTGTCACCAGACCTTTATTCTGCCGCGGTCTTTAATTTGAACTCCACACAATTAAACATCATACCCGAAAGTTTACTAGTGTCGCCAGTCCACAGACCAAGAAGCTTTATAGGCGTCAAGAACACAAAGAGTGGCGAGATGAATATCACACTGGTATACAATAAAAATGTGATTGTATTTATTTTAAAACCTAAATGATTTCGATTTGTCTTCTATCAAAATTTTCCTCCTCACCAACAATTTGAATTATCCAGATGAGAGATCATCTACCTTAAAATTTATGATAATTTTAACAATTTAAACTGAGTCTAAAGGTTTTCGATGAGCTGAATCTAAATTTTTTGCTTCCACTGTTCCATCACGTTTCGTTTTCGATATTTTAAACTTCTCCTTATCAGAAGTAAGTAAATTAGTGGTGCTTCTGCTATCCAAACGGTTCTGATATATCTATAATTTTTCCTATCTTATAATAATATTAACAATCAAAATTTTAACGAGCCGAATCATTATGTTCCATTTTCCAGACATTCGAAACTTGTATGCCCAATGCATTTGTGGTTTCTATTGAAGTACATTGGAGGTGCCTAATTACAGCTTACTTGTGTTGTGTGTTTTTTAATGCGGGGCAGACGCCCTTTACCCAAAGGCATCGCGACGGCGTGTAACTTTGCCGACGCCGACGTCAATTAATATGGATGGCGTGTAATTGAATTTTGCTCGGCTCCAGTTTTTTTCCTTGCTCTCGACTCCCGGCGAAAAAGTAATTTTAAACTCGATCAAAATCAAACAATGTACGCGGTTTTATCTCGACGAAGTTGTCGTTAACATATCTATCGGAAGTTTGTTAGTCAAATCGAGGAGGAATTGAAATTTTTGATCTTTTTGCTCGGGCATAATCAATCAAGTCCTTTCTGAGTTGACATGGCACATTCCTTAAGAAGGATATAAAAGGACCGTTCGGAGAATTTACATTTTTATTCCGGACTTCATGAATAACAAGTCGAGGTTTACATAATAATAAAAATATTGCAATCCATTAGGAAATATCTAGATAATAATGACATTTTCCATTGTCTAGCAACATTATTTTTTATTAACGTAATCTGGCACACGCGCGATAAAATTTTTTCCCCCAATTTAATCTATATGCAATGCAAATATACATGTGATTTACATTAGGACCTAACCGAGCGAGACGACCAAAACCCACATATACACACTGAAAGAACAAAATCTTTTAATTTGCACCTGCCAACTGATTGTCTCATTAACCACGAGGCGTATCGCCTGGCTATGTTGCCAAATGTCAATCGATTTTTTTTTTCATACAAAAAGTAAAAATATGAAACCCCCCAATATTGGGGATATTCAGTTGGATGCGGCAACGTCGCATGCCTAGCTAGCCAGGCTCTCTCACCAGTTCAAGGTCCCGCGTCTACCTTGGGCGGTGTCAATGACACGTGCGTAAGCTAAGCGCGCTGCGTACGCCGCGTCTCCCCTTTCCCCCCGCACACGTTTTTGTCCCCCCTCCTGTTTATCTTAAAGTTCGAACACACGGTTCGTTCGGGGGAACCTGAAAAATCTTGGCCTAGGACCAAAATATATAACAACCCGTAAAACTATACCTTGTGACATTTTTTTACCCTTATTTAATTTGATCATCAAATATGTATTTTGTGTTAAACTTGTAACAATTTTAAACCAAATTTTTTAATCATTATTCTTAAAAAAAACCATCACCATCTTCCAAAAAAACACCATTAAAAACTTAAAATTACACAGAAAACTTACCCGATCTTCGAAATTCCTGCTACTAATCGTGGCAACGCGGCGCTCCTCAACTGTGTATCGGTTGTCATAGTAACGCGAAAGCCACTCCCACGTCGCGTTGCAACACGCGTTCACAGACCTGCGAACGAAACATCGCGCGCCATCTATCGTCGACATTTCGAACCTATTCGCAGGAATTCGCTCCTGCGGTTCGCTACTCGGTCGGTGGCGACGTTGCCGGATTTATACCCGCTGAATTCCCAGGTTTCGCCGTAATTAGGAGACTTGGCAACGTCGCTCTTGCGGAGGCCGGCTTGTGGTGCCGTGCAGCGGCAGCCAGCTGAAGTTGGTTTTAGATTGATTGCAGGAATTTGTAATGTTTGCAGGAATTCGTAATATTGGCAGGAATTATTTCTGTTGTGGCATCATAATTAATTAACGCTCTAATTAAGTCCTTGCTTTTACCTAGATTAATATGTCCGTATATTAATTGATATTTCAAAATGGACGTTTTGTTAATTATTTATTTTTTCTGCTCCCATCTTTAAAACTCCCTTTATCGTACATGTTTTCATGACACTTGGTGACTTTTTAAATGCACATTGACCAGCTGTGGCTTTATGGCGCTTTAGTCACGGGCTGAAGCAAAAGTTTTTAGTCATGGGCTAAAGTTCGTTGACAGTTGTCAAATGTCATACAATCGATAAAATAAAGTGGCTTTCTTGTAAAATAATATAACATATTTTCTTAACATAATCATTTTGAAGTTATTTTAATAAAGTATCAATAATTGTTAATGGTGAAAATAATGTCAAAAATGTTTACTTTATTTTCGTATAGATGTCGCCTTATACAAAGATTTGACATATAATTTTTAGTTAATTTTAAGTATTTGTCGTAGAAAAAGTTAGTATGCACAGACCTGTTTGTTGGTCTGTGATAGTATGCAACTCGTTTATTAACTTTTCTAGGCACTTATTAAATTAAGAACTCGCTCGCAAGCGCGCTTGATGCATAATATACTATTAAATTTATGTTTTCATTTAAATTTTGTTTATGGTTTTAAATGCCTTGCATAACCCACGCAAAGCAGGTGGGAATTTAATTTGGTATGCATTTGTTGTGAAATATATTTCCCAACATTATTTTTATGTAATTGTTTATTGCCCACGACCAAATACTTGTGGTTTTAATTACAAAAATAATAAAATACCTGTGACGAAAAAATTAGTACCCCTTGACCCTCTAAAGAACCCTATCTACAACTCACGTGCACACGGAGATAAAGCTGCACTAAATTAATAAGAATATACTCGTTTCACTATTCCACAAGAAAACATAATAAAATTGTTTTAAGATTAAGCTAGATTTTATGATTCTATGAAGTTTTCTTATTCTTATTTAAAAACTACTTCTCATTATTGGAAAAACTACAATTTATTTTTGTTTCAAAAATATTCTAGCAATACTTTTAATGCAAATAGTTTAATTTAATTTGATTTAAATTTATGGTTTTACTTGATTACATATGTGTGACATTTATTTTAAATAAAATGTAATTAATTTTTTATTCAAATATAATAAAAGATGGAAGCTACATGCACTAATGTCGCTTTAAGCAGTATTTCCACTTTATATGTGAAATAAGGTAGATATGTACAAAAAAACAATTTATATAAATACATTCATATATTTATTTTAGTAAAACTAACAAAGTGGTAGTAACTCTATTGAGGCAGTCGGTACTGCATTTTCGATTCGTAATAAGCATTCTAGCGTTGAGTGAGAACTAGCAGAAAATGACCTTAAACCGTTTGCAACTTCAGATTGAAGCGCGCAGACTGAGCAGCGCAGTTGCTTAATCCACTAAACCAGCCTCAAACCGTCAGAAATTTGAAGCAAAAACAAACCCATTATAATAAATAACGGTTTGTTTGTTTATTAAAATGGTACTTGTCTCATAGCGGGACAAAAATCCCCGAGTAACGTGGAATGACCCACAAGTATAATTAATTAAAATCTTATTTGAGTTTTTGATTGAAAAATTTATGGATATCAAAAGAAAAAATTTGTTCACTTAATTTAAGAACAATTTTTTATTCTTTGTTTAAATAAAAAATACTTTGGATATGAGTATGAGTATGAGTATAAGAGACGTATAACCAGCCCCATTTCCTCTTGACTCGCGAACCCCGTACAGGCCTATGTTTACTTGCGCCGATTTTTGTTCTTCCCCAGCAACTGCACGGCTTCACCCGTGTTTGCTGGGTGCGAATGTCCATTGCGTTTCGTACTGTCCCCTATTTGGGGCTCGAGAGCGAGAGGCGAATAGTTATAATAGCCATTCCCGGGTTCGCCGAGCCTATGCTATACGCTCGGTGGGGTGTGGATGAGGGACGGGAGGGAGTTGGTTTTTGGGGGACAATTACGCCGACTTAAAACTAAGTACGACGCGGAATCCCCCTAGACCAGTCGATTAGTTTTACTCCAAACATTTGGGATTACTATTTGGAGTTGGGGAGTTGTTATTTCGATGCAGGGGTGTAGTCGAGGTCTTTGTCTTGTTCGTTATTGTCGTTGTCCGTGTCCTGGTCAGATAGCTCCTGCCCTTGGTAAAGTGTGTCAGTTGTTTTTAATAATTTTTGTCCCAAGCACGTTTTGTGGTAGAGTTCCGTCTTTGTTTATCAAATTCCAAGGCATTGCATTTATTCACTAGTCCAACAAATCACAAGCGCGATCATTCTGTCGTCTAATGTTTACAAATCTCGAGTTTGGCTATTAGGCCCTTTTTTTTAATGTGTTAGAATTATGTGATCAATGTTAGTTTACTCTGTCAGTCCAGTGTTTATTTCGGTCTCGATTGGGACCGCTTTACGCACTTGCCGTTGACAGACTTATTGCCCCACGCCGCGCGCCCTTCATAGATTTTAAAGATATCCCAATAAACACTTTAACGATGCCTAACACCATTAGCATTGCCCGTGTAAGAATTTTTAACACTTTTTAATACAATTTTGCAATGATAGTAATTAAAAACAAAACAATTGTTTAAAGAGTAAAATATGTTCTTAACATAATCATATTTTAAAGTTATTTTAACATTTCCAAGTAAAATAAATGTTATGTTTAATGAAATGAATACGGGCAATGTTAATGGAGACAAGTAACGGAAAATGTTTGCCGGGATCTGCCGTATTTATATTGCAGATTTGTATCAGGTCATGCATACTCTTAAAGTAAAACTTATCAGATTTTTCCCCTTGCGGATGACCACCTCCCCTCTTCTCCGACCTCCCCCGTCCGTCCAGTGAAAAGCCTCCAATGACAGGTGGCACCCAAGTCACTCATATCACCAACACTCCACTCCTCAATGACCGCTACATCACTACACCACTCCAGCTTGCACTCCATGAAAATGTTTGTTTCACTTTATTTTTTTAATTATTGTTGGTTTCATCTTTAAACCTTTACGTTTCAAGAGCTCGCCCGCACGCGACCCGTCTACTCGAGCGCCGGAACCGAACTGGCATAATAAAAAAAAAAAAAAAAAAAAAAAAAAATACTTTGGATATAGAAATTTATTTTTTTGCAGGTATTCCGTTCACAGCCGCACCCCCGGCAGCCGCCAGCCTTCGCCCGCCGAAGAGGAGCTCAACAAGAACGGAATGACCTTGGTGCCGGGAACCACGCTCGTTCTAAAACCGCAGGAAGAGCTGCAGCAGCACTTGCACCACCTGCCGCCCCATCTAGCGCCGCATCTGGGCGTCACGTTGGCGGAATCCGTGAACCAGCAGTTCGAGCACTTTGCCGAGCAACAGCAGCAGGTAGGTGTTTCTCCAAGAAAATGTTTGCACATGTAAAATAGGGTGGAGCGAAAAAAAAAAGAAAATTTTTGAAAAAAAAAAAAATTTTACTCAACATCTTGAGGTGGCCCACTGATTTTTTAAATTAAATTTAAGTTAAAATTCTTTTGAATAAAAAAAAAAACATTTTTTTTGGCTTGTAATCTTCAAATTTATCTAAAAATAAACAAATTTGATCGTTTTCAACTCGAAATTCGCTCTAGCATGTTTCCGGAAAACTTTTGAAAAAAATTTTTACGACCACTCGTTTTTAACTTAAATTTAATTTAAAAATTCAGTGGGCCACCTCAAGACGTTGGGTAAAAAAATTTTTTTTTTCCAAAAATTTTTTTTTTTGTAGGCTACAAATTCCACCCTCAGGCTAAAAAAAAATTTTTTTTCGCTCCACCCTAATGTAAAACATGTTTCCCCTTATTTAGCAGCAAGCTTCGTACGAGCAACAACAGCAGCAGCAGCAGCAGCAACAACAGCATCAATATCCGCCGCCGCCGCCTCAGCCGCACCAGGTGGACAGCGCGGTCCTGCAGCAACAGCAGCACAACTTTGACGTTCAGGTGAGTCCCGTAACACTTTTGATTGGCGTAAATGATGCGCAGTGGGTAACGTAGAATGATGCGCAGTACTATGCTCCACACCTCAAAGTCCCACCACGTGACCACGTACGGAACGCAGTCTTTTGAAAATTTGGCATTTAAGGCTTTTCAGGTTATGTATCTGTCAAAGTATAGTCAATGAAAGAAATAATATTTATAGTGTTACCGCTTATGTTTAAGCGTTAAAAGTTAATAAATCTTTATAGTATCACAATAACAATGGTTGGTTTAAGAATTTAGGAATGTAAATACTGCATTTAATGAAATTCCAAAGTGTAAGGTGCAATATAAGTGATATTTTTGTGCATTGGGTCTAAATTTCTCCATAAAATAGTTTTAACTAAACAGGATTTATTAAAAAAAATCTTACTTCTCTATTCGGCCATTTCAAGCGCGCGAAACGCACGAATTACAAAACTATTTTTATAAAAAAAATTGTAGATTATTTATCATATAATATTTTGGCATCAAAATTGGCAAAAATATTCTTCTTTTATTAGGTTATACATTAAATAAAAAAAAACTCAAGAAATATTTTATGAAAGTAGATATAATTTTAATAATTGAAAGGTGTGGACGGGACAAAAAAAAGATTTATCTTGTCCCGTCCATCCCTGTCAATTATTGAAATTATATCTACTTTAATAAAATATTTCTTGCGATTTTTTTTATTTAATGTATACCCTTATAATAGAAGAATTTTTTTGACAATTTTGATGCAAAAATAATATATAATAAATTAGCTACAATTTTTTTTATAAAAACAGTTTTGTGATTTGTCCCGTCCATCCGCTTGAAATGGCCGTATTATGAAATAAGAATATCTGTATCAAAGGTATGTTAATGTATTAGAACAAAAAATATCATCTAATTTTGTATTTTAAGGTTAGAAAAATCTATTTTGACCAAAATAAATAGGTGGATTATTTGGAAGAGTGTGTTAATATGGTCATAAATAAATATAGGTATACTAAATAATTGTTGAATATGGTTCAAATTAAATTGAAGCTTTTATACTTCTAACGACAAAACTTGTGCATACCTCTCGGCATACCTACTTTACGTTAGATTATAAGAATACAAACAATTTTTAGAGAAACTTGCAATGTGAAAATATTTAATACTCCCATGAGATGTGATTTATTAAAATATATTAAGTTATAATGATTTTTCGATGTAGATCAAATTCAGTCAAAGCTTTTTAACTATTTGTATTGACCAAACTTTATGTAGCTACCCTTTAAGCTGGATAAGAAAAACTACCACATTTTTAAATACCATATTATACTGTCTTTTAAATAATCCAAAATACTTATTTATTTTGTTAAAAATAAATTTTTCTAACCTTAAAATTACAAAATTAGATGATATTTTTGTTATAATATATTAACCTACCTTTAATACAGATATTCTTATTCCATAATAGAGAAGCTAGATTTTTTTAATAAATGCTGTTTAGTTAAAATTATTTTATGGAGAAAACCAGATATTTGGACCAAATGCACAAAAATATTACTTATTTGGCACCATACACTTTAGAATTTCATTAAATGCAGTATTTATATTCTTAAATTCTTAAATCATTCATTGTTATTGTAATGTTATAAAGATTTTATACATTTTTAACGCCTAAACATAATATTATTTCTTTCGTTGACTATACTTTGACAGATACATAACCTGAAAAGCCTTAAACGCCAAATTTTTAAAAGACTGCGTTCCGTACGTGGTCACGTGGTGGGACTTTGAGGTGTGGAGCAAAGTACGTTAAAGATATCTTTGGTGTGCAAAATCTTAACGTTTCAACAATAATACGTAGAATTAATTATTAACGCGCTGTTTATTATGTGGTTTATACTTTGTGAAATACTTTTCTAATTATGAATCAATTTATGAATAATCGTACGCAATAGAAAAATATTGCTAATTGCCTTATTAAAAGTAGGTAACCAAGCAATTGTTCCACAATCACTTTATTATCATTAATAATATTTAAACACGAGTATTTTTTTGTTTTCGTTTAATCATTGCTTATTGGATATCGTTCCGTAATTGAATTGTTTTCTTAGAAAGGTTGCGTAAAAGTAATTCAAGACTTATTGTAACGTGCATTATTAAAAACAAAAACGTGTTATTATGTCTAATAATACACTTGGTTTTTTTTATGCAATAATTTAATTTACATGTTAAATCGAAATGCATAACGTTGTTTTCCCGAAAGTTCAACGCCGAATTTAATGCACATTGCATTTGGGAAAAATTTAATTGAATTCCAAATTGTTTGCCTTCATAAAACTTTCCTGGTAATTTTAAAACAATAAAGCATTTTAAAATCGCATATCAAAAATTGCACCGGGTTATTAAATATTTTTTCCACTCCCACCTTTAAAACGCCCATTACAGTACATGTTTTCATGACACTAAGTGACAAGTTGTGGATTATGGCGTTTTAGTCACGGGCTGAAGTTTTAAGTTAGTTAAAATAATGCTAAATGTAAAAATTATTTTATTATCTCAATACAAAAATACAAAAGTATTAAATAGTTTCTCAACGCCAATATGTGAAAAACTGTTGTTAGTTTATTTTCAAGGGATATATTTCGATTTACACATTTGACATTTTCAACGGCGCGCCAGTAATACAGATTTCCAAGGATGTTTACTCTATTGTTTTATAGATGTTGCTCTATACAAATATTTAATTTAAATTTTGAGATAATAATAAAAATTATAAAACTGTTTTGTTAAACTATGATACAGAGTTATATTTAATAAATAAATAAAATAAATTTTTCGTATAAAAAGTTACAACTTGATTACAAACTTTTGTAGACAGTCATGTAATTAAAATTCGTGATTAAAATGGCGTTTATCAAATTTTATACATAATAATTTATTAAAAGAAAATTTAATTTTGAAAAAAAAATTATAATTGCATAACTTCCAAAACTTAGAAATAAATAATTAATAAGCACTTGAACTTTCTGAGGGTTGTTGAAATAACCAAATTATCAGAAAGTTCAAGTGCTTATAAATTGTTTATTTTTAAGTGAAGGGTAGTTATGCAATAATATTTTTTCCAAATTAAATTGTTTTTCAATATACAGTGTGGCCCATTTGTTGGCGACTCACCCCTGTAAAATCTTTATTTATTGTGCGATTTTAACCGGATTTGGTTAGTGTAGATCTTGATGCAAAAAACGCCATATTAGTACAAAATACAAGGCCTACTATGTTTTTAAGAGTAAATTTTCAAGAATTCATATTAGCGATTATTTTACACAAAATCTAAGCACGGAACTGGATTCACCACCCCTCAAAACGACTCTTTTCTAAATTTTATTGAAAAATTTTGAATAGAAAAATGCACAATAATAACTACAAAAATTTATTTTGTCAAGTTATCCATAAAAATAAATAAAATTAAGTTTAATTTTAAAATTTTTCAATAAAATTTAGTATAGGGTCGTTTTGAGGGGTGGTGAATCCAGTGTCGTGCTTAGATTTTGTTTTAAAAAAATCGATAATATGAATTGAGTAGGCCTTGTATTTTCTAAAAATATGGCGTTTTTTGCTCCAAAAATACAGTTTATCAAGATCTACACTTTAAAACAAATCCGGTTAAAATCGCACAATAAATAAAATTTTTACAAATGGGTTACACTGTATGTAAAAAATATATAGGTTGTTCCATTAAAAAAATGTTATTTTCTTTTTTCACCATTTTAATCGAAAGCAAATATACCACCAATTTGCCAATTTAACCAACTCCAATAATAACGAAGTTAGCAATGGTGAGCAGATAACTTAGGACACTCTGTATAAGACATTTGGGGCTACCAACTGCAGAATAAATGCCTTAATCGCAATATGATTTTTTTAAATTTTTCCAAAAAGGTCTCTTTTTGACAATTCGTCCTTTAATATACCAACAGGGCTCCCACTCCTCCTAAAATTCCTATTTTTTTAAGAAAATTACCGAAATTCCTAAAATTCTGGGAAAACTAAAATTTCTGAAACCAGTATTATTGCTTGCTACTTCTGTCTTTCTTAAAAATCACATTTAAAGACCTGGATTGCAGAATCGTATAAGAAGAAAAATCGAACAAAATTGATTTTTTTATTACAGCGCCATTTATTACAAATATGAAAAAATGTTTTAAACAAAATCTACCTATTTTTAGTCGAATGATCCGAATCTGCAATAAAAAATAGTGTTCCATTGGAAATTTTATTTTTGTATTTGAAGAGATTTTTTTTTGTTTTTATAAAATTTATAATAAATTTTTGTATTTAAATAAATAATACAAGTTTTGTTTTACAAAAAATATGCAAATGTTTTATTTTTGTTTAGTTTTCAATGACAAGGTAAAAAAAACCTCCTAATTTTTTCCAAAAAAACTCCAATGGTTCCTAAAAGAATTGTAATTTAGCTGTGGGAGCCCTGTACAAATTTAGCCGCCGCATAAGAACAAACTGTTTTTCTTGTCGCACAGTAAATGAAGTTGGGAAACTTTTTCTGCACTGTGCGGCAAGGTGATATATTTTAATTAAAACGACCTGTTTTCGGGGTTGGAACTGAAGGAAGAGACGTATAAAATGCAGAGAGGACGGCACGCCATGTCGCGTGCATTGAAAAGAGGGAACGTCGCGAGAAAAGGGTGTGCTGCCTTTTACGAAACGCGCCCTTTCCCAGAATAGATTTTCACCGGGAAAATTTACTTATTCATAAATCATTTTAAAGAAAGTTCCTTAAATATAACTACTTTAAAGGAGTTTATATGGTATTTTTTGTTAAAAACTTTAGGTGATAAACTGACGAAAAATATACAGGGCTATTTATATTTCAAGCGTAAATTTTGCGCCAGGTGGGTGCGCCAAACAGCGCAAAAACAAAATTCAGAGGGTTGGTAGCAGATAAAGATAAGGCGCGACCTAAATTTTTAAAGTAATTATATTTT